TCGTTCACTCGCAATCTAAATAACTGGTGACTCAAACTGCAGCAAGAGCCAGCAGCTGCGATGGTGACTGGGTGATTGGGCCAACGCGAAAACCTCTGAAAAAACCTCAGCAAGGGTGGACCTGGGCACCGCAGAGAAGCTTTTAAACATTCGGAGGGCTTAGCAATTTATTTTCAACTGCACCGTGTCTCGGAGGGTCAAAAACAACAAGAAAAACAACATCAACCAGTTCTGCCGAAATGTGACTCACTTCCCTGACTATGCGGCCGTAGAGATCTGCATCAGTAATCACAAAAAAAAAGTGTTGTCTGCATCATCTCAGGGGTCACAGATATGCAACGTGTATTCTGAGAACTATTCATGTGCCTCCCCATTCATTTACAGCTTGCTTCCCCAATCACTTGAGAAAATGGTTTCAGGAAAAAAACAAACCACTTATGTCTGTAGTGGTACAGTGTTTTCCAGTGGTTGCTGTAATTGCATTTCCTGTGCAAATCGCTCAGTTTGTGGGGAAACCAGACAAAGAGAGCACTATCCATCTAAAAATGGAGGGGGGGGGGGGGGTTTCTTTTCTTATTTAATTGTTGGCATATTGTTCTCAACTGGAAGCACTCCACTTGCAGTGTGAAGCAAGCTTCACCTCCATTGTGAGCAGGTTTCAACAAAAAGAGATTTACACTATGTGTACCAATGCAATGCATAAATAAATAAACAGTTATACGGAGCACAATACTTTCCAGAAAGCAGTCTTTGTTCTGTGAAAAAACTCCAAGCAGTTATTTACCATTGAAATATTACATACTGACAAGTAAGATCATGTTTTATTAAAACCATTATGTTCAATTCTAGCTATAGAATTAATAGTCTGATCTTGTGTATATGAGACTCAAATATTGTTGAAACCAATTACCATGTTCATTAATGATTCATTTCCATTATTCTTACATGTGAAAGAAACTTTAAGAGAAATCCACCTGTTCATACAAAGCAATTTTCACATTTTCTGTTTTGTCCTAACAGATAGACAAAACAGAAATACGTTATCTTACAAAACGAAAAAAACATATATGTTCTCACGTTATAAAGCTGAAATAAGGGAAAGATTAAAATGCGGTTCTACTTTATAGAGTAGACATCAATTCATACATCAGGGGTGTGTTATTCACGTTTCTTTATCAATGATCCTCAAAGAACAAATAGTACATGCTGTGCCTCTATATTATTCAAGATAACCGACTTCTTCCAGTGTCCACATATAATTCTTTAAGCAAACATTTCTTGCAGTGTCTGACTCCTGAGTTAGAGCTATAACACATAGGCTGAAAATCCCCTCTGCTTTCCAAAGAGCTTTCCTGAGGCCAAGGCTGTGAATTGATATCCCACTGTTGCATTACTCTTGGCCACAGAGCAGAGCACAGGACAGGAATAATAATGGGACAAATCATTGGTTCATTCTCATACTGTTCACCAGCTTGTGCATCGGAGTGCACACGCGAGGTGAGGAGGGCCGTGCCCGAGATGTCAATATTCCAAACGGGCATGAGTGATGAACTTTATGTGTGCAAGCGTGCTAGGACCTATAGTCTATACGTGCATGCAGGCAAAAACGCACTCTTCAGGCCCACTGAGAAACAAACCTTCCAGCACAAGCGATGTTTTGAAAAAAAAAATTTCCGTCAGAACACCCCCTGCTCCTCTCGGCGAGAAGAAGATGTAACCTGTGTACCCCTCTGAGGCTCGGTGCATGCTCAATCAGCAACATGATATGGCCCACGGCTGTGTGCTGAGGTCACTGCTGGAGTCTTAAAGACTGATCATGCATGAGGTAGCAACACAGTGCTTTTTTGGCTAATGTGCTACAGCTTTTTCCGCCTCTACGGTGACTATTCAGCACAGCCTGAGCTCCAACCCGGAGGAAACCAGAATCTGACTAACACTTTTGGGCACTGAGATGGAACATGCTGGATTTTTTAAATATTTTTTTCCAAAACGAAGCTACTAAACTTATAAGGAGTTGAGCTGTCCATTGAATTGTGTTTCCACATTAGAGACAGTGTTCTTATTGAGACAATGGATCCACTTCAATCAAAGATCACTGTGCATTTGTACAGCTGCAGTTTGCAGGCGATATCTCGAGTGCCCACACATCACAATTTGTTAGTAAAAGTGTGCGGTCCTTCTTCATTTTTAACCTCATCACCCCCTTTGTTCCAAAGTGGCTCTCACACATCTAAGATAATCTCGTCTCTTTCAGGCTAATCAACGATTAAAAAAATAAAAAAACAAAAACGGATGCCGTCCTTCAAAATCTCTCTTATGTTGTCTTGCTTGACGATAACAGACAGAGCTGCCCGATTCCCAGTCTTGATTCACCTTAGAAAAATATCACAGCCCGGCCTCATCTGTCATGTATCGGCTGAAGCCTAACATTTCACTTTGTTTGGCGGACATTGATTTTTACCTCCAAGGTGTTGTCAAGGAGGTGTCCGACTCATACACGCCTCCTGTGCTGTTTCTCCTAAGGCTACTGTAGCAGGAACCAGCACCAGCACTCAACTGAAAGCTCCCATAAATGATCGCATTCGAACGTGGCCCAAATGACCAGAACATTTGTTCTATAAGGACTCCAAAGGGACAGAGAGGCGTGGTTGATAAGAATGGCTGTATGTATAGATAAAAAAGCCCCTTTTTGTTGTTCTTGTATTGTAAAATTCCTGGCAGCATGTAAACCCACAAAGATCTAAAGCGATTGCTGATGTGTATCAAAGCTTGTCAGTCCTGTTTAGTTGCAAAATTGTGGTTTCCCGGTGATTTCAATGCCAACACTTGCCGGCCAAAAAAAAATCTCCGGACACAAGACGTCAAAATGCATGGACACTAACGGATTTATCCAATCCTCCATCCATATGTTAGTAGTTTTTTTTTTTTTTTTTTTCCCCCCACCAGAGCAAGTCAGATAACAACAATTCATCAACTGCTGTCTTCCCACAGCCTCCACAGAACTCTATGCACACAAACACACATATTTGCAGCCTAGTTGAGCAGCACTTTATATTCATTAAGTGTCACAATGGCATAAAAAATAGCCGGTTTCAACGAGAAACAGTATATCTTGTTTAGGAATTGTTTGGCACCAATGAGAAATAATCTTCGAGGGAGCATTGAAAGTAGCATCCTGTCACGCTTTTAATGAAAATATAAAAGGACGAAGTAATTATAGTAGATTTGTTGCAGTTTTTTTTCCCATTTTCTTCAAGAACTCATAGAAAAGGGTCTATTGTAGAGATTATATTGGAGTCATTAAAGTAGTATTGTTGCTTATCAGTTTACCATGTCAGCATGATGTTAGCATGCTAAAGATAACAACTTGCCAGTGCCATTTTTTATTAAGATTTAGTGTGAGGCAGATTTGATCTGTAGTGATAAATGTATTTAGGGGGAATTGATGGAACTTCACATGTCATCTTACTCAGTTTAAATGATGCAGGCCATCAGCAGTGTGTGCTGGAATAAACTCATATGATGGACTAGCATCGTAGCCAATATGACAGAACATCCCATATATGATGATGGCTATATTTTCACGAAGATGAGTTCTCTCCAATTTTAACTCGTGGAAGTCTGCTGCAGGTTTTGGTTCAATTATTGTTTTCATTTTTTGTCCACAAGGTTTGTTCAAGCTCAGGAAAACTACTTCTTCTAGTGAATTTACAACACAAATGAGATGATGTAACCTGCAGATTTACTTGCTGGTGGCAATAGACAGCCTGGGTCATATGCTTCAAGTGTCTTATTCACATTTATTATCTTTAAAATGGCTCAAAATTGAAAACAACTTGTTACTGACTAAACTAGTTTTGAATATGGAGCAGTGAAACTACTCAGCCCTGACACAGCATCAATGACAGGCTGAACAAAGCTAGCTGGATGACAAGTTGTGGTAAATTCAGATGAACTTTACTGGTATAAATGTTGCAGTGAGCAATTCCTTTGGATGTTTCTCACCTATGTTGGGTAGCCATCCAGTTTTTAAAACATATTTTTTCTCTGCACAGTAAAAGAAAGAAAGGCGCAGGCGGGATCTGGCTCTTAGCCTATTTACATCTCGCTGAGAGCAAGCATCATAAAGCTGCTCTGTTTTTAAAGGCGCATGATAAATATCCTGGAAATTTATGAAAATGAAACAGACCGGGGAGAGCAGCTTCATCACTCAGACGCATAGCACACTGATAACTCTTCCAACAGCTCACTGGCTTATATATTAAAAATCCTCCTCAAAACGGTCAAAAGTTCAGCTTCTGCAGCAGCTGAATCTCTTCCCCTGTGCAGATCGCAGAATTTTCACAGGCTCACTCATTGTGACTCACTCTAGAAGAACATAAACTAAATGTCTAATATGCATTTTTTTTTCACTGTGGCTAATAGCATAAGAAGCAAAAACTATAATTTAAGCTAATGGGTTGGAAATGCAACCAATGAGCATATAGTGCATATAATGAACCAAATGAGGAAACTTTTGTCTGCAAATGTGATTGAAACTGCGATTTAATTGCAATTTCAATGCAAATTCAGCTTTAAATATGATTTGGGGATTAAACAATCGGTCCTTTTGTTTTCCCAAGCCAAAAGACTTGAGACATGTGGTAAGTGTTTGCATGAGTGTGAGTGGAAAAAAGATATTTTAACCCGGTGAGAGTATTGGAAAAGTATAGAGCAGGTAGCACTGATGCTACCCTTCTACTGGTCCCTGTTTATTCCCCATTCAGACGTTCCGTGAGACTCCACAGCACTGTGGATATCGTCAGTTTAGTTGCTGTACTTGTAAACTATGCAATTTGCGTTTTGTGCCACAGCAGGCATCAATTAGCACCTCTCTCACGCCTCTACATCTGAACTGCATCAAATTTGGTTCCGTGCTGCTCGGAACATGATGTGAATTTGTCATGACTCAACTGAAAGGAAGGAAAGGTTCAAGACAGGGGAGCTTGCTCACTGCTCACCTCGGGCTTTTAAATCCAGACTGAATGTCAGACATTGGGTCTCATGAAACGGCATTCATCACTATTTCTTTTCTTTTTTCATTTTTGACAAGATTTTGCACAAAAAGGGTACAACACGCTGGATAAGAAATAGGAGCTGTTTTGTTCCAATGCATCTGGATTTTCCTTTTTAATTGCACCAAACCCGACCCAAGCAAAGCTTTTATTCTGAGCGGTTTTCATAGTTGTGGAATGAAATAATTGTCATTGAACTGTTTCCTCTGTAGAAATCTTTAACGAAAGATTATTACATTTTCACAAATGCCTCAGTTTAGAATGTACAAAAGGCCTAGATTTTAAAACTGGAGATGCGAACAGAAACTACGCATAACTTTTGATTTTTTTTATAAAACAAACTAAATCCATGTAATCTACGCCTTAGCGTGAAGATTCCCTGCAGGGGAACATGTAGACAAACAGTTCCCTCCTTTATAAAATATAACTAATAAACATTAATGGATGTTATGTTTACCAAGTTAAATCTGTACAGGCCAAAATTCTGTCGTGTGTCACAAAATCTGGAACAGATCCGTCTTATCCATTTCCATACCCTCTTAATCCAGATCAGGGTCATTGGGCGATAAGAGGGTCGTCAGTAAGTCTCATCCAAATTAACCGTTTGTTAAAATGACTCAGAGCCAAAACTGCACTCACATTGTCTTTCAGACAGTCTGGAGTCTTTCAGATAGTTATAGATTACTTATATTGTTTCAGAAGTAGTTTACAAGAATGACCAATTCCCAGTGCTAACATGAGGAGAGATCTCTATTTAACTGCTGCCAGACAGTCTCTATCACTTTTTTCCCCTATACTTTAAGACTGGAGATTTAAAAAAAAAAAAAAAAACGATCACACTGAACTCATCTCAAGTAATATTTGGATAAAGATTTAGTCTTGAAAAAAGGGCTTTTTTTTTGATAGCCGACAGCTTGATGCTGTCATTAATCTATGCTGGTTGGCCTCTCAGCTGTGCATGCGGCAGAACGTGACACGTCTCTGCGGTGGAAGACACTCATCGTCCTTCAGATTGGGCTTAATCATGTTTGCTTTTCCCCAATTAGATCAGGGAGGTGCGTGTCGTCAACACGCAAGATTTTTTCTCCTGTCTCCTCTGATGGACTCCACACTTCTCCTCCCGCTCACCAAATGGTAGCAGTAGGAGGCAAAGGATTGGTCCGCGTTCACACCCGGCTGAGTCATTTCACACTGGAAGACATCCATCAGAATTAGAATCACAAAAGCCAAGACACGATCGACAATGGAAACTGAGAACGGGAAATCTGAGCGAAAAGGCGGCAGCATATGGCTTTGCGAAACTGTAAGCTGTCAGCGTCTAAAAAGCGGCAGCTGGTTAAGCCCAGAACTGATATATATACAGTAATGATAGCAAACCGTTGCAGTCATTCCTTTTTTTTTTATTGACCAGGCTGGATTGAACAAAGCCATATTGATATAGTATCAGAATGGTGGTTGACACCACAGTCTCGCTGGCTGGATCATGTTTCAGCCACAAAATACAATCAACTCTGGCTATCTACGTATGTCATCCTTGCTTCCTCTTGCCCTCTGGAATCTCTGTAGCTGAATACGAAGCTAAGTGAACATTTTATCCGTGAATAATATCAAGAGTCGGGTAAAAACTGCTGACTGCATATGTGATATTATGACGCTCAACTAATGTACTAAACTCAGCCGGTCAATGGTGATGAGCCGGATGTGATATCACACCTGATATATCACATCCTCCTCTCTTTTAGAAGCAAAAAAGATCATATCTTTCGCGTTGAATCATCACAAAGAATAAATGAACGGTACATGTCAAATTAGCTGTTTGTTTTAAAATCCCCACATGCTTCCGGATGCTGTGCAAATCAGGAAAGAACTCACCTCTGAATTTTATCCGAGCCAATGTCAATAATGTAATCCCTATGATTTTGTTAGAAATCGCATCTGTCACATCTCGGTGAAGGCCACTTCCCTCCTGCATATTCATACGCAACAATATTGACTAAGTGTCTTGTCTGGCTAAATACAAAAAGGGGAAGTGAGTTTCTTGAGATCACGCGGTGTGATTATAAGCAGAAGAGAAATGCACACAGGAGATTCTGGGATTACCTCTGGAAGCCGGTGGGCCAACACCGTCTCCCTCAGTCAGGTTTGTCCGTCGGCATCAAGAGCGCGCTGCAGAAAATGTTTGGCAGGCCATGGGAGGCTGTGAACAACTTCCTGAGCAGCGCAGTGTGAGGAAAAAACTTTGAAGTTTCCCTCTCGCGCCGATGCCGAGCGGTCAAAAAACATCAGCCTCTGTTTTCGAAAACGTCATGCTCTAATTCATACCTGCAGCGAGCTAACCTGAGGCTACAGTTGCACTCGGGCTGCGGCGGTCAATAAATATAGCAAGACACGTTTACGGAGAGCCTTTGTGCTCCCGGAGTGACAATAGGATCCCATTGTCAGGTGTTTAGTCAGATAAGGTCGCAAGCCCTCCGGGATTAGCGCTTGCTTTTCATCAATGTAATGCTTTAAAAACAGGTTTAGCAAACGTGCGGTGGATCAACCAATTTAAATGCTAAACCTCTTTCTCACTTAGAAAGATTGGGGCCAGGGGCTAAACACATACAGATAAACAAATCAACCCAGCTGTAAAGACTCGGAGAGAGGAAAGCAAATAAATGACCCTCACACGTTGATTTTTCAGTGGGAGAAGCGGGCAAAAAAAAAGGTGATGCAGCCTGTAAAGGGTTACAGTAAGAGTCTAATTCCCTCATTTCGAGGGATAATACTTGCAGTGTCACGTTCCTAAGTGAAGAACTATCCTCTGGGGGGGGTGGGGGTTATTCACACGATATGTGTGAGGCCTTAGGAGAATGTAATAACGGCGATTGGGAATTGCCACTACTTTTTTGGTTCAGCACATACCAGTAGTGGCCTCTTGTTTATCCGGTTAGCATTATGCACCACCGCTGCTCTTATGCTAGCCACAACAGTCATTGAATTATAAAGCGGGCCGGATCATGCTGGGAAGTGACATTACTCTTTGAGAGCAGCATAATGATCACTATCAATCTCTTTATTGTCGAGTCACATTAGCGGAATATCAGGGAGGAGTACTGGAAAGGAGACGGGGCCCAGAGACATCCTCCTACCACGGCGGCGTGACAGTACATTAATCACACTGGCGGGGACCCTCTCTGTGTCCAGGTCCAGAACTGTCAGGATCAACACTTCAGCCACTACTGTTTTAAGCTGGGGAGGAAATTCCTCTCCGCGGCCCTGCCGGCTTTTTGCTTCGAAACACATAACTGTCACAACTCTCTCATTTTTAGATGCACATTTTCCTCTTAGGGCGATTTTTTTTTAAATGTCGCCGCCGATATCTTCCGTCATCTTTTTTGGAGGGAACGCTCGAGTCAGGCGTGAAGACAAAACTGCCCCTTTTTCATAATCAGCCAGGCTCGACAAAGACTTCCAGGTGCACGTGTTCAACTCGGTCTTCTTCGATGTAATAACAAGCCGAGGAGATACTGCATTTCAAACATATGACACTACATCTTCCGCGCACCATTGAAACAGCTGCATGAACAACTGACGGCTTTTCAGAGAATCGCATGGAGAGCGACCCGGGTGAGCTGCTAACAATCTCATCCATTAACCCCATCAATCTGAGTTAGCTCCATCAGCGTTGGTGTCGAATGTCTCAGCAAACCTCTGCCAGAGAGTTGTTGCAAGTACCCCACACCAGGAGGATAAATTTTGGAGGTAAAACTTTTTTTTCTCTCCTTCTCTCTCTCTTTGCTTCTAGTATAGCAGCACGCATGTCATAGTCAAGTGGTTTATGAAACCACCCCTTCCACAACTCCGCTACTTCCATTTAAATAATGAATACTCTGCCACTTGCAGTAATCCTCCGGCAGCCATTCCCAGAAATAGAACAAAGTCAGACGTAGCACTTATCCCCCCCCACCCCTTTCACTTTTAAAAACAAATAATGCTGATTCTGGAGAAAACACTTCAAGATGTTTCTACTTCATGTTAGTGAAGCGCAGCACTCACTGTCTGCAAACAAAACCCCCGAAAAAAAAATAATCTGTGAAGTGCTGAGTTATTGCAGTGTTTCGACATTCTTGGCCACATCTAGGTCGTGGCTTCAAAGTTTTGCTTAGTATCCATTTGAAGGCAACATCAAAGTGCGGGTAAGCCAGCGATTTCAAAAGGCATCAAGAGCTAACCTAAAAGGTACAGTATTGCGAAGGGCACCTTTGGGTTTTCTATGATGGATGATAAGTATGAGCAAAGACAGAATACAAGAGAAAAGGGGTGGAAAAATGGGTGAAAAGATATATAACTCTGAGTTGGGGGCGAGGGTGGGTTTAAATGAAAGGTATCTGTAATTAGATGGAGAGTTTGTCTTCGGCAACTTCCTTCATGTTGTGCCAGGAAGAAAAAAAAAAAGACCAGAACTGATGAGTCTGGGAGAGTTATCTCTCTAAGTGGTCTTTTATTTAAGGATAAAAAGCTATTCTTTGTCTGTTTTTGCCATGTACTGCCCCCTGATTATGGAATAAAAGAAGGTGGGGAAAGGAGGGCCAAGAATTTGATACTACATAGTTAGTTGATTTTATCTACCAAATGCCAACACAAGACCGTCTTTAAAAGAAGGTTCACCAACCTATTTGATGCGTTTTAATCATTTAAAAAGGGCTGTCCTTGTTTATTAAATAATACCACCAATATACAAGTATCTCAGGGCTGCCTTACAAACAGGTACAACAAAAAATACAAACCAAAGCACCGATATAACTTCTAATGATGTAACTCACAGGAAACCCAAATATCTTCGGGTTTGTGGCCACATATCGGCCCTGACTGTCCCGTTTTTGCATTAAATATCAACTTAATTAGACTTAAAGGAAACAGAGTACAGCAATCTAACCAGGAATTATGATGACGATGTCCTTTCCTCTAAAATGTGTCAAAATTTAGCCACTTGCAGCGC